CCCCCTGCCTGTGGCACCAGCTCTTCCTCATGCTGGGAGGGAGTGTGCAATGAACACGGGTCTGTCTCGCCAACTAATCTGCACCCCACCGGCCTGACGCTTGGCACCGCACATATGTTCCTTATTTGTGTCTGTGTGTTACTGGCACCTCTTCATTTTCTCCCCGATCCTCCTCCTGCCCTTGACAGAGCGGTTGCTCTGCCGGCCGTGCACTTGCTGTAATGCCAGCGCAGCCTCCGCAGCATCCATGGGGTCCCTGGCCATCGCACGGCGATCTTCTTCCTCTGCTCAATTCTGGAGCAGCTCCTCCAAGCTGAGCCCCACACGTGCACGCACACGTGCACACACGCGTGCATGCATGCACACCCCTGCAGCGTCACTCAGGGCCAGCGCCTCCTGCCAGAGCCAGCTGCTGGCGTGGCCGTAGGGGGGTGCAATCAGCACTGCAGCACCTTGCCCTCCAGAAGGATTGTGCCACCCCTGCAAACATGGCACATTTGCCTTTCCTGAGACCAGGGGGCCCAAGCTTAATGACAAATTTCAGTTGAGCTTGCGCTGCTCAGCTGCCAGATGGGTACGTTGTGCTGCAGACCTGCAGGCAGCGGGGATGAAACGGATGAGTTGTGCCGAGCATCATGTGGCGCGTGGTGGCTTTGCAAGAGGCGGCCGTCATCCACTGCTGCCTTTTTGTTTCTGCTCTCTCTCAAAGCCATTCAAAGCACCTTGTGTTGCGTGCAGGATATTACACGCAGGGTTGAATGGAGAAATTAGCAGGGGAGCTGTTTTCCTTTATGCACAGTGTGGGGAGGTTGTCTGCATTCGGACTATATGTATTTTTTTATTTCACCCTGCAGTCTCGTCACAGAGGATTATTCTGACGAAGCAGCAGGTGATATTTCATGCAGATGTGGCATTCAGCCATCGTAGAGGTTACTTCCCTTCCTTGAGTTTTTATAACTCCTTATTGTCATGCTTAGGAAGTGAAGGGCAGTTATTTCTTCAACACGCCTGCGACTACTGATGTTAAATCGTGGTCACCGAATGATTAGTTTATTAGCAATATCTTTTTCAATAAAGTATTGGTGATATTTTCGTAATTTGCTTAACTCTGCCCAGGGCTTTAAAAGCTGCTGCAGGGCCCAGAGGAAAGAGTTACAAGTCTTACGGGAGTGAGGGCAGGAGGAGGTTTCTGCCACCATCATCACCACCAGCACCCCAGAGAAATCATCCCCTCCCCATGCCTACGCAGGAGAAAAGCCAGAAGCAGGAGTTTTAAATCTTGATTAATCTAAGGTGCAAACAGCAAGGACTTTGTGCGTCATCCAGGCTTGAAAGGGGCATTGCTGTCTCAAAGGATAGCAGCTCTGAGGGGTTGGGAGCTCTAACTTGGCCTCTTTCTCCCTTAGGATGTGGTGGTGGTCGGGGAGGAAAACTTCACCACTCCGTGCTATATCCAGCTGGACCCAGAGGCCTGCCATATCCTGACAGAAACCCTCAGCACGTATGCCTTGGTGGGCCAGTCAATCACCAAAGCAGCAGCCAAACGTCTCAAACTGGCCATCTTTGGACCGCTGTCCTGCTCTTCGCTGGAGTACAGCATCCGGGTCTACTGCCTCGACGACACGCAGGATGCCCTTAAGGTGGTTGTTGCTCTCTTGCTCGCTTTCCCTCTCCCTCTCCAGCTCTCACAGGACTGCAGTCATAGCGGTGACTAGACCCTCTGCTCCATGTATTCCTGCTCTCTGGGTTATTTTTCCGATAAGAAGAAGAGCTTGACAACAAGCTGCTGTTTTACAGTTTAACCCACACCCTATAAATTGTCCTTTGCGTAGGGATCTCACACTATTTTCCGCCCACCAGTCTTTTTCCTTTGTTTACCTGTATCATATCCTGAATCCTAAGATTTCTGCATTATTAAAAGGCCATAAGGTACACAGGGCTTCATTCATTATTCATGTATTTTTAATGCTAAGTGCCAGCTCCCCAGAGATGGGGAGACATATAAATGCTTCTTTGTAAATAGTTGATAATGATAAAAGAAGCTTCTGGGCTGTTAATCACTGCCTGCTTTCATACTGTTTTATTACACCTCTTCGTGTGCAGCTTATTGTGTTGGGAATTTGCAACTAAAATAAACCAAAGCTGTTGCTATCTCTAACTATATAACCTTACTCTCACTGCATAACTCTGGCATGCACACAAACACACACTCACTACATACAGGTGAGCAGATAGATAACCATACTTGCTATTTCTCTTTATAAATACCTGTATTTATACAGATGGTATCTATAATAGATGCACTCATGAAATATGTAGCTCCAACTGCACATGTAAGAATGGAGGTTATTAAAAGGTGGGGTTTTTTTCTTCAATCGTAGCCAGTGCAACTTGCCTCTTTGCAGCAAAATGAGTTCAAAGCCTGACTCTAAGCAGAGTTATCCTGGTCCTGTATATGTTTTTGCCTCCTCAGCTCCGCATGGGAATTACTGGGATTCAAACCCACATACACTGCCTGGGAGATGTTTGTGTTTTTCGGAGCAGTGCCATCACTGCGAATGGCACACTCCATTTTCCTCCCCAGTACTATCTGATATCAAGGCTTTGCTGGGGGGATACCTTTTCGCTAGATGTAAGAAAGGCAGTAAAGTATAAGGGTTGAAGCAGGCATATCTGACTTCAGCATGGTTTTGTCTGCACAGGGCCTGGGAGCTTGGCCTCTGTCAATGCTTTGGTGTTATCAGGATTTTAGAAACAATTATTTTCCCCGGTCTGATTTCTCTTTTGTTTTTCCTCTTTAAAAAAAGTGAAAAGGATCTTTTGTAGCGATCAAGCTTCAAAAGTCCTGACGGTTTTATGCCTGTGCTGCGTAATACAATTTTCCACGGGTTTGTCAAGGCCTGAGGTAATAATAAGTGACTCGGAGGGGCCTTGGACAGACAGCTAATGCACTCAGAGCTGGGGGAATCCAATTAGGTGTTACTCAAGAGTTGTTGGTTTCTTTCTAATAGACTGCGAGAGTCTATGGGGAGAGTTGTGAGGTAAAGTTAATCCGATTCGGTGCGATAGCAGAAGGAATCAGGAGAGCCTCTGAGCAACACGGAGGGACCATCTTTCACCCGAGAAGCTGCAGCCAGCGTTTGGGAGAGAGCAGGCCAGTCTTTGGGCCCCAAAACAAGCTTGTAATTTGGTAAGGAAAGGTGAGCAAAGTCAGGCAGCCACCATCCCACACTTACCTACTGCTTTTTTACAGCAAAGTATGTGCATTTTAGTTTTCTTCCTTTTGGCACATCTATCCCAAGACTGGAAGGCCACCCATGGGGTTCAAGACCCAGCTATCTGGTGGTTTACAGGAGGACAAGCACATGTGCTTGCTGGCCACAAATTCCTACGAATGTATCATCAATTGCACTTCTCTGGAAATGAAAGGTCTGGGGAAGGAGAAAGTTTAAGAAAAATGAACCTAGTAAACTAGCTGTAGATCATAGAATCATAGAATGGTTTGGATTGGAAGGGACCTTAAAGATCACCTAGTTCCAACCCCCCTGCCATGGGCAGGGACCCTTCCACTAGACCAGATTACTCAAAGCCCCATCCAACCTGTCCTTGAATACTTCCAGGGATGGGGCATCCACAGCTTCTCTGGCCAACCTGTTCCAGTGCCTCACCACCTTCATTGTAAAAAATCTCTTCCTTATATCTAATCTAAATCTATCTTCTTTCAGTTTAAAGCCATTAGCACCTGTCCTATCACTACATGCCCTTGTAAAAAGTCCCTCTCCAGCTTTCCTACAGACGCCCTTCAGGTACTGGAAAGCTGCTATAAGGTCTCCCCAGAGCCTTCTCTTCTCCAGGTTGAACAACCCCGAGTCTCTCAGCCTGTCTTCATAGGAGAGGTGCTCCAGCCATCTCATCATCTTTGTGGCCCTCCTCTGGACTCTCTCCAACAGGTCCATGTCCTTATGTTGGACATCGAGCCATTGACTGCAACTCTTTGAGTGTGGCCATCCAGCCAATTGCTTATCCACCGAGTGGTCCATCCATCAAATCCATGTCTCTCCAATTTAGAGACAAGGATGTTATGTGGGACACTGTCAGGTGCTTTGCACAAGTCCAGGTAGATGACAT